CCTCCCTCCTTCTCCCAAATTCAGCACCTGCCAAGAGCCCTTGAGATCCACCGCCACCATGGTAGAAACTCACCCTCATCCCAGCCAGCAGGCTTTGAAAACATCTGGAGTTATTTCTTCCCCCTCATTTTAAGAACAGAAATAAGAATCAGGAGGGGAAAAATTTTTAACCAGATCATCTACTTTTTATTTCAGAGGAAAGATTTGCATTATTTACTTTTATTTATATACATGTACTTCACATTTGTATTTAAAATGCACAGACCTCCCAGGAATCTTCTCGTTCTGGCTTTAAATTAGCTGTTATTTTACAATACAAAAAATTATACCAAAAAACTGCAGTCCTAACTGTGTGTATGTATAACACCCACAACCCCAGCAATGAAATAGTTTACAATACTTGCTCCTATTTACATATGAATGCAAGAAATGCTAAATTATACATATTAACAAACTAAGCTCAAGTCTGAACACAGATAAGAATCGGAAATAATTACAGAACAAAGAGGGGGGAAAATAATCCAGAGTACAATTAATTCAAGGATCTTAGTTTAAAGAACATTTATTGTGCACAAATTTCAGAGTAATAGAAAACTTCATTTTTATTTTCTTTTTCTTTTTTTTAAAAAAAATGGACTGACATATGTTACACTCCTCCACAACTATAATTTCCATCTTTCTTCTGGTGAGGTTTGTGGGATCAATGCTAAATGGAGAGGAAATGACTAAAGAACTGTAGTACCTGGAAGACGCACACAAACAGTCCATGTGTAGTGTCGGAACAAAGAGATACACTGAATGAAAACTGCCCTGATGCAGCAAAACCAGCAAGTACACATATTGTAGTAGTCCTAGCAAGGGAAACTCATCTCATTTCAGCAGCTATCAACAAAAAAAAAGTGGGAATTGGACAAAAATTGCCAAGAGCAAATCCAAAAATGAGTTAACAAACACCTACCCTTCCCTTCCCTTTCTCCCGCGGCCCCGACGCTCTGCCAGCACCTTCCCACCAAACCCCGCACGGCTCCCTCTCTCACCTGCTCCTGCAGCTCAGCAGCTCTGCACATCCACCCCCTTCTCTTCCCTACCCTTTCCTTAGTGTTCCCAAATGAAGACAAAAGGGGAGAAGGAGAGACACCCTCTGCTTCCTGGGAGTAGCTGGATTAGGTTGGAAGCTGCTCTGGGCACGCAGGGTCTGCTCTTTGCTTTCTCACGAGCTCAATGCCAGCAAACCCCTGTTTTCAGGGAAAAGGGTCTTGGGTTCTGAGAAGCAGCTGATGCCTGTCCCTAATTCAGGCTCTCATGGAAAAGACAAAGCAGCTGGTAACATCAGGAGCAGCTGAGGATGGAGAATCAGTCTCAGCTCTGGCTTTGGAATTCCAGCAGGTTATGGGAAGAGCCTAAAGTTTGATTTCAGCCTCAAAATCTCCTTTCAGCGTATTAAGGGCTAAGCAAGCTGAGCTGCCAGTTAAAACCATTCCTTAAACCCAGTGCCTGTGGATCTCGGTAACATGATGTTTCTGAGCAATATTTAGCCTATAAACTATCCCTAAGGAAGTGTGGATGTGCCAGTGGGAGCTGCCATGCTTTAATGGGACCATACCATCAGATTTTGGGACATCACAGGCTATGAGTTATGCTAATCACAGGCACTACCCCATCATAAATAGCTTTATTTTGGCAATTTCAATACAGCACATTTTAAGCCCAGGGAGAGTGGGAATAACTCAAAAGATGTGTTAAATAAATCTTCTTGTATGCAAAATATTGCCCCAAGAGTGGGGAAGGGTCATGCTACAACAATCCAGAGAAAATTCTGGGCTACAAACCCATGGAAAATGGTGAATTAATAAACAAAAAGGTGTTATTTGGAGATCCACCAGCACTGCTGCTGTTTAGAATAAAAAGGCTACAAGACTCCTGAACTTTTATTATTAATTTCTTTTTAAAGGCTCCTTTCAAAGAATCAAAACGTTCTGAGGGTCAAGACCTCGAGTGCTGAATTTCAGCCAGTTATAAACACTTGAAAATAGTGATTTTGAATGGAAATCACTGCCACAATCTTAATAACGGAGGCTTAAACTGCTGACTTAATCCTCCATGTAATGACTACTTTAAGGACATTTATTACTTGTCTCCAAGCATTGGGTTTTTTCCCCTTTCAGGTGGAAAAGCTGTTATTTTCCTTGGTTTCTACATTGAAGTGAAATGCATTTGAACACATAAAAGTCAAGTTATGCCTCCCTGCTTGGCAAGATATCACGATATAATCTGATGTTTAAAGCTCTGGAAAGTTACCTAATACTGATCAGATGAAGAAGGTATTAAGACAAAACTCATACATCATTTAAAATGCATCAAAAATACATTCAATATTTTTTTTGTCTGGTTTATATACATTTTAAATCTCTCCATGTTCTGCAGGTTACTGTAGAGTTTATGTACAAGTGCAAAATCCGTGTGGTGGTTGTCATTTATTTACAGGTTCTCCCATGAAATAAGGTTGTTCTTTCCCTCCTGCCTCACCTCCAAAGGAAATAAACCCACAAATCCTTCACTTGTGATACTGGCCTGGTGATAAACCACCAGCAATTCTTTTTCCTCCATTCATTCCTACTTTCTTCCCTGTTTCACCTTGAAATTGGGATGAAACTGCAGTAGAGCTATGTATGAGAGTTCTCTTTTCCCTCATCAGTACGGAGATGGGATGCAGAGCAGAGCTCCATCCTAAAGGAGCTGTTTCCTTCTATTTATATAAATAATTCTTGTCCCTCCATGTACATTTTTTGGTTCTGCAAAGCCTCAAATCTTTGATCAATTTTGCTCATTTTTTCAGTATTTTCCAATATGTGACACCTCATTTTGTGGCTACTCTCCATAGGCTTTGGAGACTTTACAACCCAACTCTCCAGAGGATGGAAAATTCCCCAAACCCCCAAATTTACCTCTTTCTATCAATGTAAAAATCTCTCACCCCTCCAGGCCTACTGTTCTGAAAGCTGTTTCTGACCAGGAAAACTCAAGCAACAACTTTAAGCACTTGTTTAAGTGCTGTCCTGAACAGGGAGACTCAAGCACAAGAGCTTTCTCCATGTGGGTTGGCAGTTCTCCTCCCAAAAAAGGGCTGGAGAAGTAAGAAGACATCTCCAGACACAAGGATGTGCATCACCACTGAAAACATGTAGTAACAGGAGAAGGATTTTAGTCCAGTCTTATTTTTCTAGTCCAGGTTAGACCTATCACAGAGGAAGTCAGAAAATATTCTCAGGAGATGAATCTGTCTGAGGTAATCTGTGCATCAGTAAAACTTAAATTGCCTAAATCCCTTCACGCTAAAAGGCAAAGCTCACCCCTTTTCCTGCCATAATTCCTTTTGCCCAGAGGGCATTTAAACTTCTAGTGTAGAAGGAGATGCATTTATATATGCACACATATATATGTGTGTGTGTATATATAATGCATTTTCCCCCAGTATTTTCCTGCAGTCCCAGTATTTTTCTTCAGTGCCATTGCACTTGTTAAATGACACATTAAATCAGAACGATCATCCACCACAGTCCTTAAACCACCAGGCTGTTCCCATCACTGCTGTCTGGACACGCACAGCAAGTCACATCTTTATTGTGACGCCGCTGCGCTCCAAAGAGCTTCTTCAAAATACATGGGGAGAAAAAAAACAATTCAAATGAGTGACTGAGAGGTGAGTGATCACCAACATGTGCACAAAAAAGATGCAGCTGTTTGGGTTTCAGCTTAGAAAGGTGCTACCTGGCCAGAAGATCCAAGGGCACTTCCCTTCCACTTGTTACTTCTCCATTTAGTAAGTATGAGATGTCCTCAGCAGGACTCAGTGACCTGATGAATCCACAATTACTGTGATTAAGCCATAATTACACCTTGTTTGGCACCTTAACTAACATTTTCCTACCAGCTGCACCACAATGTCATGTGGCCACAGCACTGTGCTGTGTTCCAGACCCGAGGGACACACTGGGCACCACCACACAGACAGATGGGTTAAGTCCACCCTTGGGCCTCAAAACACAATCCCAAGCCATTAGAGTACTTCAGCTGGTTTGATACAACCCCAAAACCCAAACCTACTCTCTGCTGTTTCCAATCTCATCCTTTCACCAACCAGCCTTCACCATCTAGCACAGCTCAACCCCAAGGGGAAATACCTGGAATGGATCATGCAGAACTCGAATCTGTGGCCACATGAAGCTGATCTGCTTGATTTTTATTTCAAGTTCTTTTTTCACTTCATCCTCAAGTGATCTGGCACCTGGAGTGTTGCTTTATACAACCTGTAAGGAGATGGAGCACATCCTAACTGCTGAGGAGCAATGGCGCTGAGCTCAGCTCTCACCCAGGATGGCAGGAGGGAAGGGGGAGGAGAGGACAAAATCAGAAGAAATATATTCTATCTGACCTGGAACACAAACTGCTCCTAGGAAAACACTGGTGAAACCAGGAGTTTTCTTATGAGATACTGAAACTCTGCTTGCCCTCCAGATGTTTCCATCTGGGTGAGTAGTTGGTCAGTCAGGAAAATGCTATTTTCCTCTGACTGCACAGGATACAAAGAACACAGATTGCCTTGGGTGACTCTATAGATGAGAGTAGACATGGATTGAAAAAGAACTTAACTATGTTAAAAAGCAACGTGTGTAGCAGTCTCCTCACTCCCTAGATCTGTTCAAGTCTAGGCACTTGTGTGTGGTGTACTCCGAGCAGGTTAAGACTATGTAAACACCGAGTCCTTCCAAAGCAACATCCAGCTTTTCCAGTTATTTCATGTGGTCTGAGCAACATCAACCTTTAAATCATCCCAGCATTCCTGGACCATGAAGCCTACAAAAAGGCTGGATCTGGAAGAGAGTTCCACTGAAACAAATGAGGGACTAATTAAATATTAAATGAAAACAAAGGATAAAAATGCTTTGAAGATTAATAGTAGTGTTTATGTGTTGAGAGCTGACACCTGTAAACACTGGATCTTTTTGTACAGTTTGATAAATACATGAACTACAAAGCACTTTCCATGTAGAAACCTGAGTGTCATTCATATTGGACTACTGTTCCATTTACACGGCCCAGGAACGGCAGTGGCGGATCTCACCGCTCCTGCAGGGAAATCATTTCACTTTCAACTTGAAGAAAAACAAAGGAGCAATCTGAAGCCACGTGTCAGTAAAACTTAAGTGGAGCAGTTGTCAAATAAAGCCAACTAGCACGTAGATGAGAGAAAAAAGTCGGGGTCAAGGAAGTCGTGTGTTTTTTATCCGAGTGCTTCTAGTCTCTTGGGACACAACTTGGAAATCTTTCTGCTCCTCCTCCTCCTCCTTCTCCTCCTCGGTATTCCTTTTCCATTTTGTTTAAAACCCTAGACAGTTTCTGATGTCCATGCATCAAATACAGGTTCCTGGCTGTGCAGGGGGCTGCTGTTTCCGATTCCGGATGGCGCCCGATTTCTCTTTGTAGGCAATTGGCATCTGTTGTGAAATGTCCACCAGTGCACTGGCCACGGCAAGACCTGGGGCAGCAAAGCACAACAGGCATGGGACAAAACAGTCACACAAACAACTCCCTCAACCACAGCTGAGAAAAACCCTCCAGGCCACAAAGTCTATAGAATTCTTATACTAAACTAGGAAAGTGTTTTGGTTTAAGAGGTTAAACTCAAGCCAAATTTCTGAAATGAAATTTAAATACTGCATGATTCAGTGGCAGCAGGAAAAACTGCACTAACTGTGAGTATTACTGGAGGTAAAACTCTTAATATTGAAGGGTTGCATCTTTCTCTGCACCTGTAGATGGGCTACAGTAAACCTGAAAGCATGTGTGCATGGAGGTTTCACTGCACTTCCCAGGGATCTGTTATCTCTGCAATCTCCTCCTGGCAGGACATGGAATCAGACTGGTTTGGGTTGAAAGGGAACTTAAAACCCATCTAGTTCCAACCACAGAACAGGCACACCTTCCACTAGGCCAGGTTGCTCAGAGCTCCACCCAACCCAGCCTGGAACACTTGCAGGGATGGAGCAGTCACAGCTTCTCTGGGCAACCTGTGCCAGTGCCTCACCACCCTATCCACAGAAAGCACCATCTGAGATTTAGCTCAACGCAGCTCACAACCAAACCCTCCCATCTCAAACCCAGCTAATAATGCTCTTCTAAGAGCCTCTGCTTCACCTTGCACATTGAGCGCTGGGGAGCCCCAGTTAAATCCCAAACTGCCCAGGAGATCATGTCTCAGTGCCCTGACATGAGGTTTAAGTGTGAAGGGGCTGAAAACAAGGAAACCTTAAGCTG